ATTGTGCGATAGTTTGAACATTCCTTTGCATTGCCCTTCTTTGGGATTGGAATGTATACTGACCTTTTCCAATCCTGTGGCCACTGTTGCGTTTTCCAAATTTGCTGGCAAATTGAGTGCAGCACTTTAACAGCATCATCTTTTAAGACTTTGAATAGCTCAGCTGGAAGACCTTTTTTTGCCTTTAGACACTGTTATATATTTTAAGCACTTTGTCTTGTTTTCCTTGCCCCGTTACTGTATTAATAAACCATTGGTTTAATGTTCTCTGCCTGGTCATCATGCCTATATTTCTTGGCTTAAAAGGAACATTTTGGTTGGGCTTGAGAGGGTACTCTGGGCCTTCCCAAGGGACCCTAAGTCCAGAGTGGTGTCAGAGGAAGGTGGCAGCCCACTAGGAGTCATGACAGCATCTAAGGGAGCAAAGCCTATGTATACAGAAGTCCCGCTTTTTCCAGTAACCCAGAAATAAAAGACACCAAGTCTCAAGTAAATGGTTTCTTTAATGAGAAATATACTTCAAGCATACAAATAACTTCACAATCACACACACAGTTATTCAGGCCTAGGAAATATAGACAGAAAGGGATAGTGACATTTGCATCAGCTGGAGAATCGTTGAGGGGTGATACGTACCTGTCCTCGGCGAGATAAAGCGATCCACAGAAAAACAAGAGAGTCTATAAGGGAAAAATGGGATTGTATTCTGAGCCAGCAGAACACGTGGCAGACTCTGGCAGTACTAAAACCAAGAGTCATGGAGATAGGGTGGGTCTAGAGGTACAGGAGAGAGAGAGAGCATGGTGGGTCATGTTCTTTTATACACTGTTGGGACGGGGGTGGGCTTTGCTGGCACTTTCCTTGTAACGTCCCCTCGGTCAGTCCCAGGAAGTTTCCTAATCAAAAACCAGTTTCAGGAGGAAGGGTGCTTAATGGTTGGGCAATATTGGATTCCATTTACTCTTAACAGTGGCACCTTTGAGAACAATGGCTGAGCCGGCCAGAGTCATTGTCATCGATGGTCCATTGATGGCTCCAGGTAATGGGTTTAGCTGGTACGTGTCAGCCCTCTAATCCTCTCATGGCTGTGGATTCTTTGTCATGCTGTGGTCCCTGCCACACGGTGGTAAAAAGCATGACCAAAGTGCGGCTTTTTACCCCCGCACCAAAAGAGACATGTGGCGGTGGGATCACACACATCCCCTGAGCCGCCGCACAGTTGCTCCCCGGCACGATCAGATGCCGGGGAGGAAGCCACTGATGGGAGACCGAGGCAGCCGGCTGCGCATGTGTGCGCATGCGCAGTTCGGCCAGGAGCCTCAAATGCTCCTGACGACGGACACGCAGGCGATCCCACGGCCGTGCTTGCTGCGGCATTTCAGGTAAGTCCTTCTCTTTACTAGCTTCTTTTTTGCTCCGAATTACTGGGCTGTAGGGACGGATCGGGGACGGGTGCGTGCCACTTCCCAGATGTTGCGGTTTGATCGTGCCCATTTGCTGCACCCCCAATCCGTCCCTCTTTCGGCCCAAAACCTCCCATGTGACCGGGGCCTGTGTTCGGCAAAAGTGGGGGGAGGTGACTGCGTCTCAGAGAAGATGCTAGTTCATGGAGTCTCCAATCAAGATCTCTGGTCTCATGGCTGGTATGGTGTCTATTTAAACAGCAAATGGTTACTGGTCTTACTGTGCTTCACTTGGTTAGGGAGCTTGGTTCTCTTCCTGCTACGCTGCGGTTAAGAGATGGCAGGTAACCCCAGGAACCATTAGTACACCATCTCAGGAAAAGATTTTCCTATTCTGGGCATTTGTCTGCAGTTGGCATCAGCTTAGGGTCACCACACAACCCATTCCCTTTTGCACATTTACCGCACAGTCCAGTTATTGTGGAGTTCATAAGTCCAAAAGGAGCGCTATAAGCGCCTTGTAGGGCAACACCGGTTGGTACTTGGAGACAACCAAGGAATTCCGGGATTGGTGTGTGAAGGCAGGCAATGGGAAACCACCTTTATTTGTCTCTTGCCTTTAAAACCCTACAGAAAATATCCCCAGCATAGAATCTTAGGGTTGGAATGGACATCCATGGTCATCTAGTCCAGCCCCCTGTACAATGCAGGGAATCCACAAATACCACCCTTCCATTCTGATCTGGGAGAACTGGGTTTGATTCCCCACTCATCCTCAGGCAGCTGCTGGTGTGACCGTGGGTCAGTCACAAGTTCTGCCAGAGCTGTTCTCTCAAAGACAGTTTCTGTCAGAGCTCTCTCAGCCCCACCTACCTCACAGGGTGCCTATTGTGGGGAGGGGAAGGGAAAGGGGACTGTAAGCTGCTCTGAGACTCCTTCAGGTAGTGAAGGGCGGGGTGTAAATCCAATCTCTTCTTCTTCTTCAAATGGGCAAAACCAACAACTGCTTATATTTATTTAACCTTCGATTTATATACCACCCTAACCCCCCTAATGGGGGTCTCTGGGCGGTTTACAACTTGTAGTGCTAATCGCTTTTATGGATCCCTAACTATGGGCACATTCTCAGGGGTTGGGTCAGCCTACCTAGCACCCCGGTGGTGGCGGCTCTTCCTTCTGGTCTCCGGCTTCGGCTTCCTTGGCTCCTTCGGTCGGCAGGACGCTCCTCTCTCCAGCGCAGTTCTTCTCCAGCGAGGCAGCCGTCTCGGTGTGTGAGTTCATCTCTCCCGGCCTTGGCTGCGTCCGATAGGCTCCGCCGCGCCGGGAGATGACGTCATCCACACCTTCTACTGCTCGCGCCGGCCGTTTTCTGCAGGCCACCAGGGATCGCTCCACTGGCTCTCGATGTTCCGTCGTGCCGCCTCGTCTCTGCCGCCAGGATCCGCCATCACCACCGCCGTCGCCGCCATTGTTGTTGTTCCTTCGCTGCTGCCGCCGCCGCACACCACACTCCTCGGACGAGGGGGGTGCCCCTACCCTACTAAGGGTAGGTTCCCATTTATCTACTCGCCCTTTAACGGGCTTTTGAACTGCTGGGTGCTTATATGTGGTCCTTCTCCACTGCGGTCCCCACCTTGAGCAACTGTCTGCCTGAAGAGGTCAGGAAGGTTCCTGTTCTCCAGGCTTTCTGCAAACTAAATTTTTCAAGAAGGCTATTCTTTGTAGATAATAGAGTAAAAAAGGTAAAGGTTCCCTTGCTCGAAAGCCAGTCGCATCTCCGTTTCAAAGCCGAAGAGCCAGCGCTGTCCGAAGACGTTTCCGTGGTCATGTGGCTGGTGTGACGGAACGCTGTTACCTTCCCACCGAAGCGGTCCCTATTTATCTACTTGCAATTCCTTGCTTTCGAACTGCTAGGTTGGCAGGAGCTGGAGCTAGAGATGGGAGCTCACTCCATCCTGCGGCACCCGGGTCTCGAACTGCTGAACTACTGACCTTCCACAGCCTGCAGTTCAGCGTCTTAACCATTTGAGCCACCGCAGCTCCAGATAATAGAGTAGCACTGTACAAAAGCCACAAAATTACCTGGATAAATGATCAGGGACTGTGATCTGTATGACCATGTGTATTTTGTTCTGGGTTGGCTTCCATTGTGTGGTTTCAGAACATTTAATGTGTCATGCTAACCCTTACGCTGTGCTTCAGTTCTGTTCTTAGACTTCTAGTTGATTCTACAACCCATGGCCTGTTTCATTGTTCACTGGATGCCCCATCTTGTCGACTGCATTTACTAACTCTGTGTAATCTGTCTTGAGTCCAAATGAGAAAGGTGGACTATAAATAAAATAAAATAAAATAATCTTTGGGCTCATCATCCCCCACCAAAAATATTCTACATCTTTAAAAAATAAAAAAAAGGTCTCCGGATACAGCAATTGTTACCCCATTGTTGACTTTCTCCATTTTCTTCCAGCTGAGGATATGGATTGTGTCCAAGTATTTTTTTTTAATATATATATATAATAAATTATATATATATTATAAATTAAAGTATTTTTTCACCATTAGGAGTTAAGCAACAATTTAAGAGTCTTGCAATGATTTTCATCAGTGAGCTTAAGGTTGAGCTGCTATATTTTATGATGCCCCTGCACTTCCTTTCAACCTTACCCAAAACGTGCCCTTTGACGTCCTGTTCTTGAAGTAATTTGTTCTCTTAGCAAAATCTATTTTCTAAGCAAAATCCTATTCTCTAAGTCAAACCTGTCCTTTGACCTCCTGTTCTCAATCAAGGGTCTGTGCCATCTTTATCTTTCAAAGGAAAAGTGTGAAAAAAATGTTTTCCTTATATCCTCTTAGGCATGTAGAATGTAACTTAAACAAATGATAGAGTAAATTATGTTTGAGAATGGAATGGCTGAACTCCTTTTGAAATACCAGACCCTGACCTCTTTGTTTTGTTTTATCCTATGAAAGAAGAACTTTGCATCTGTTCTTGATGCCTGCATTTTACTGAGGTCTGGACAAACTGACAAGCTCTCATCAGAATGATCCTTAATAAAATTCCCTGCTTTGTTAGTGAAAAGTCTTCAGTGAATCTTTATCTCTCCCAGATAGAATCGTGGGAGGGAGAGCTGTAGCAGGACAAACAAAGATCCCCTAATAGATTGCACGCTTAATTATAAAATAACAGATAAAAGGAAGGACTTCTTCACCCAGAGAGTGATTAACACATGGAAGTCACTGTCAAAGGAGGTGGTGGTGGCTACAAGCATGGACGGCTTCAAGAGGGAATTAGATAAGCATATGGAGCAGAAGTCCATCAGTGGCTGGGGCACTGGGGCAAGTGATGCTCCGTATTCTTGGCGGTTGGCGGGGGACAACAGTGGGAGGGCTTCTAGTGTCCTGGCCCCATTGCTGGACCTCCTGATGGCACCTGGTATTTTTGGCCACTGTATGACAGATCCAGCATTGGCTTCTCTTCTTATCACACACCACTACAGAGAGAGGCAATACACTTTCCCTTCATTCCCCCCCCCCTTTTAACTTAGCAAGAACTGAGCATTGTGCATGGCTAACAACAGAAACCCAGACAGGCCATCGTGATGCAAAGCAAGCGTTTTAATTTGAGAGCAGAAAGCGGATTGCTGCACTGAACCACCGCAGGCTTCGATCCAAACATTACAGTACAGACAGAAAAACGGAGGGCATCTCCATTGCCCAGTTGTCCTGCAGAGCATTAAAAAAAGAGAGCCTGGTTAAGATGGCACTGGGCTTCCGTGAAGATGCAGGTAGTGTCCATTGGAGAAATAGTCATTCAGTAAAGGCAGAGCACACTCTGAGAAAGGCAGGCGTGGGACTGACTGAGACAAGTGCTGAGCACCCAATGGGAAGCGTAGGACTTAGAGTCTCTGGCATCAGTGCCCAGAAAGCTCAGCGATGGATTCGCTGGTCTGTGTGGCCATTTTATGTCTTCATTGGAAGTCCCCTCCAGATCTTACCAGGGTCCATCGATGCTGCTACAGCTGTACCTTCGAGAGAGGGGGTAGCAGACCCCAGAACTGTAACCACAAGGGTTGTAACAGATGCTACCATGCCTAAGTCCATACCCCAATCCGTAGCAGCTAGAGCGACGACCAGAGAGGCCACCATAACCACAGCCTCCATAATATTGTATCTGGGTGGAACCACGACCATCCCCGTAACCACCATAGTAGGTTTGTGGGAGGCAGCGACCGCCATAACCACCATAGGAGGTCTGTGAGGAGCGACTACCACCCATGCCGCCATAGGAGGTCTGCGGAGAGCCACTACTACCATAGCCACCTAAGTAAATTGGTGGGTAGCAGCTACGGCCATAACCACCCCAGTAGATTGGTGGGTAACAACTAGGGCCATACGACGGGATACATCTGATGCGTTGCCCGTAGCCTCCATAGCAGCTGGCAGAGCTAGCACCAATGCGCTGTCCATAGCCTCCATAGCCGCTGCCAGAACTAGCTCCAATGCACCGTCCATAGCCTCCAGAGCCGCTGCCAGAACTACCACCCATGCGCTGTCCATAGCCTCCATAGCCGCTGCCAGAACTAGCTCCAATGCACCGTCCGTAGCCTCCAGAGCCGCTGCCAGAACTACCACCCATGCGCTGTCCATAGCCTCCAGAGCCGCTGCCAGAACTACCACCCATGCGCTGTCCGTAGCCTCCATAGCCGCTGCCAGAACTAGCTCCAATGCACCGTCCGTAGCCTCCAGAGCCGCTGCCAGAACTACCACCCATGCGCTGTCCATAGCCTCCATAGCCGCTGCCAGAACTAGCTCCAATGCACCGTCCATAGCCTCCAGAGCCACTGCCAGAACCAGCTCCAATGCACCGTCCGTAGCCTCCAAAGCCACTGCCAGAGCTAGCACCCATGCGCTGTCCGTAGCCTCCAGAACCACTGCCAGAACTAGCACCCTTGCTCTGTCCGTAGCCTCCAGAGCCGCTCCCAGAACTAGCACCCTTGCTCTGTCCGTAGCCTCCAGAGCCGCTCCCAGAAGAGATGCTTTTGCGGCGGCATGGGTCACATTGGCTTTGGTATTTGTAGTCGCTCATGTTTTCTGAGGTGCTGGATCTGAAATGATGCAACATGGAATAAATTTGATTGGACATGTGCCTTTGATCAGGAAACATCAGATGTGGTTGGGATGGAATGACACCAGTGAACATTTCAACAGCATTTTGTTTGTATCTGCTAGCATTTTCCTTCCTAGGACCCAACTGGGACCTTTAGACAATGGACACAAGGGATACCTCTTGGAGGGTGCAATACTTCTTTTTTAAAAAAGAAGAAGCTTAAACTATCTAGGGACTCTAATCTGGAGAGCCAAGTTTGATTCCTCCCTCTTCCACATGAAGCCTGCTGAGCAGGGGTCATTTCCTGCAGGAGCGCACATGAGCGGAGCTCCGGCAGTAAAGAGCCCAGAGGGTGGGCACATGCCACAAGCCCCACCCCCTGCCCCCAGCAGCCCTCAGTCAGAGCAAGAAGCAGCCAGGTAAGTTGCAGAGGCCCCACCCCACCCCCCGGTCCAAAAGAGTCCAGTGGCATCTTTAAGACCAAGTTGTATTCAGGTACAAGCTCTCCCTCCTCTGCGAGATCTGCATGTCCCACCCCCCAACCGCTAGCAATCCAAAACAGTCTAGTGGAGCCTGAGCGGTGGGTGTTGCCTTCTGACACACCTCCAGTGATGTCAGGGGTGTGGCACATGCAAATAAGTTATGCTTATGAGTTATGCTAATGAGCTCCTGCACCTCTTTTTCTACGAAATGACCCCTGCTGCTGAGTGAACTTGGGCCAATCACAGTTCTTTCAGAGGTCTCTCAGCTCCTCCTACCTCATGAGGTGACTTCTATGAAGAGAGGAAGGGAAGGTGATTATAAGCAGCTTTGAGACACCTTAGTTTAGAGGAAAGGGGGGTATAAAAACCAACTCTTCTTCTTCTTCTTCTTCTTCGGACATGTGGACAACCTAGACTTCTGCTAGTCTTTCCAAAACCTTTTGCAATAGAAAAGAGTAAGAATCCTGTAGCTACTGAAAGAATAACAAAATTTTTGGTAGGGGATGAGCTTTCGTGAGTCACTGCTCACTTTTTCAGACCTGAAGAACAGCAGTGATCTGAAAAAATCAGCAATGACTCACGGAAGCTCGTACCCTACCAGAGATTTTTTGTTGGTCTTTAAGGTGCTCCTGGACTATTACTCTTTTCTGCTGTTACAGACAGATTATCATGGCTACCCATCTCGATCCCTATCTTTCCCCCCTCAAGACCTAGCAACGGTGGCCCATGCAATGGTCACTTCCAGAGTTGATTACTGCAACTCGCTCTATGCAGGCTTACCCTCGAGGCTGCCCCAGAAATTACAACTGGTGCAGAATGGGTATTTCAGAAACTTGGTGGGATGAGGAAAACCAGTGGGATACAGTGATTCCCGATTATATATTATATTGGAAGGATGGGGGGGAAGTGTTGGAGGTGGGGTGGCTCTGTATGTCAGAGAGGGTATAATGTCCAGAAAGATTGAGAGGCTAAGAGAATTGGATTCACTTCTGGAAATTCTACGGGTTGAAATAGGGGAGCCAAAAGGAAACTTAACACTGGGAGTTTGTTATCACCCACCAGATTAAAAGATAGAGGAGGATTCCTCATCAAAGGCTCCTAAGTAAGCTCAAAAATCATGGGATAAAAGGACAAGTCCTTTTATGGATCAAAAACTGGCTAATTAATAGAAAATAGAGAGTGAGTATAAATGGGCAATTTTCTCAGTGGAGGGTGGTAAGCAGTGGGGTATCGCAGGGATCAGTACTTGGTCCACTGCTTTTTAACTTGTTCATTAATAATTTGGAGTTGGGAGTAAGCAGTGAAGTGGCTAAATTTGTGGATGATACGAAGTTGTTCAGGGTGGTGAAAACCGGTGAGGATTGTGAGGCACTCCAAAGGGAACTGTCAAGGATGGGCAAGTGGGTGTCAACATGGCAAATGTGGTTCAATGTGGCCAAGTGCAAGGTGATGCACATTGGAGACAAAAATCCTAAATATAAATACACATTGATGGGGTCTGAACTGGCAGAAACTGATCAAGAGAGAAATCTTGGAGTTGTAGTAGATAACTCACTGAAAATCTCAAGACAGTGTGTGACTGCAATAAAAAAGGCCAATGCTATACTGGGGATTATTAGGAAGGGTATTGAAAACAGATCAGCAAATATCATAATGCCCCTATATAAATCAATGGTGCGACCTCATTTGGCATACTGTGTGCAGTTCTGGTCACCACACCTTAAAAAGGATATTATAGCTTTGGAAAAAGTGCAGAAAAGGGCAACTCAAATGTTAAAAGGGTATGAACACTTTCCCTATGAGGAAAGGTTAAAGTGCTTAGGGCTCTATAGCTCGGAGAAACGACGACTGAGGGGTGACATGATTGAAGTTTATAAGATTATGCATGGGATAGAGCAGGTAGAGAAAGGTATTTTTCTCCCTTTCTCACAAGACAAGAACTCATGGGCACTCAATGAAATTGCTGAGCGGTCGGGTTAGAACAGATAAAAGGAAGTACTTCTTCACCCAAAGAGTGATTAAAACATGGAATTCACTGCTCTCCGCTGTGCGTATTTACCCAGAAGTTAATCCCCTTTAGTTCAGTTAATAATGCAACGAACATGAAGTTGAGCAAACTTCAGAGGATGGTGGAAGACCTGAAAGCCTGGCGGGATCAGGTTCATGGGGTCGCGAAGAGTCGGACTCGACTGTGTGACTGAACAACAACAAAAAATATGAATTTATGTGGTTTTATTGGTATTTTTGCACCAACTGTGTTAGCTGCCCTGAGCCTGCTCGTGGGGAAGGCGGGGTCAAAATTGAATAAATAAATAAATAAATAAATGTAAGTTCAGCACCTTCAGCTTCATTTACTCTCCAAATTACACACACAGTTGTGAATCATATTGCATCGACATGAAATCTAAGTCCTACTATTGTTAAATGTTTTTGTACACATGCTTGGCCTGAGCTGGGTTTCTGAGGAGCAGCACCTTCTCTTTCATCAGCTCCTCCTCTAGAGGTGGACACTTTGCCGACTGCAATATGACTTACTTCCATTTAACAGTGTCATCCTATCTAGAGTTCTGCCTTTCAAAGCCAGTTGACATCAAAAGACTTAGAAGGGTGTAATGCTGCTCGAGATGGGATGATAGGCACACTTACACTTAAAGACTTAAAGCTCTCCGCTGTGCGTATTTACCCAGAAGATAATCCCCTTGAGTTCAGTTAACTTTACTCCCACGTAAAGGTGCATGTGATCGCAGCTTTAGAATAGCCTCTCTGGATTTACATCTCAAATCAACACAGCACCTTTTCAGTTCAGCATTCAAGGGTCTAACACTTTTGACTATTGAGAAGGTTTAAAACATCAATAAGAAGTTGGTCCAAGATCTCATCAAATCTTGGAAGCACAGCATGGTGGTCCTGGTTAGTCCTTGGATGGGAGACCACCTAGAAAGGCCAGCTTTGCTATGTAGAGGCAGGCAATGGGGAATCACCTCCAAATGTCTCTTGACTTAAAAACCCATAACAGGTCAGGTCGTCATAAGTTGGTTGTGACTTGATAACGCTTTCCACCCACCACCAAGAAACCTAACCTAGAGCCACCATGTTCCCAGGCCAGATGAATTAATCTTCTTCTTCTTCTTCTTCTTCTTCTTCTTCTTCTTCTTCTTCTTCTTCTTCTTCTTCTTCTTCTTCTTCTTCTTCTTCTTCTTCTTCTTCTTCTTCTTCTTCGTTGGATTTATACCCCACCCTTCACTACCCAAGGGAGTCTCAGAGCAGCTTAAAAACTCCTTTCCCTTCCCCTCCCCACAACAGACACCCTGTGAGGTAGGTGGGGCTGAGAGAGCTCTGACAGAAACTGCTCTTTTTCAAGGACAGCTCTTATCAGAAATATGGCTTGCCCAAGGTCATCCAGCAGGTGTAAGTGGAGGAGTGGGGAACCAAACCCAGTTCTCCCAGATTAGAGTCCACTACACCAAACTGGCTCTCACAACACACTGAGGCCTATTGTCAAATCATTTTTTTTTAAGAGCAGGAAGCTTTTAACAGAAAGAAACACTCAGAATCCACAAAACTATCATGCAAAACACAACCACACAAAGAATGAAAAAATGAACTGTCAAAGAGACATTTCAAGAGGCACTAAAATGGAACTTACTTGGTTTACGGGAAGAATGGAGTTCAAGTGAAGTCGCTGAAGGAACTGAAGACGGGCTGTCCTTTTATACTCTCCCTGGGACAGTCTTCCGATTATGAGCCACCCTGGTGCGCGACACTCACAAATCCTAATTATGAGCCCAAATATTCCATGCTCACTCACACAGAGGTAATGTCTTAATTGCTTTAATTGTTCTCCCTCTCAAGTTTGGAGTTATTACTCTATCAAAGGCAACTTTGCACTCAAGACCTGCCAACTCCCTCATGCTCTCTTTCATATTAACGAGCTTGTGAACGAGTTTAATACCCCCTTCAGGATGGCCATTTGTACATTTTTGACTATGCATTCACCATGTTGGAGGAGGTAAAGCCGACATTTGAAATCACTGGGGAAGAGTAGTAAATTCCAGTTGGTTGCCATTGGCCATGTTTCCAACAATTATGATCATGATGGTCAGTGTAACGTTTGGTGCATAAACATTTCTTATCCATGCAAGCTCCTAATAGTTATCATCACAAGGGAGATATTTTTTTTTCCCCGAAGCCACTATGTGGATGTAGGGTTGCCGCTTATAAAGTTGTACCGACTTCTCCCACTGGTGTTCCCGTGTTCCTCTTGCTCACTCAATAGAGCAATGGCAGAAGAATGGAAGGATAAACAGTGTTGTGACATCACTTCCAGGCTTTACCAGGAAGTGATGTCACACTGCTTTCAGAAGTCCCTGAAACTAGATGGCCTGTATGGCCCCTTCTAACTCCACAATTCTATGAGCCGCTGTGGTGCAATGGTTAAGAATGCCAGATTCTAATCTGGATAACTGGATTTGATTCCCCACTCGTCCACCACACAAAGAGTGCTGGGTGACCTTGGGCCAGTCACAACTCTCTCAGAACTCTATCAGCCCCACCCATCTCGAGCAAGGTGTCGCTTGTGGAGAGAGGAAGGGGATGTGGTTGTCAGCTGCTTTGAGACTCCTAAAGGTAGAGAAATGTGGGGCATGAGAACCCTTTCTTCTTCTTCTTCATATGACACATTAAATGATGCAAAATTACAAAAATGGGATCAGATGGTATCCATCTGGCAGAGTGGAATGCAGGACAGTCAGTAGTAGGTGGAGCCAAACCTTGCTAATTCAAGTTTTGTCCACATCCTCCTCTCTTGCAATGTCACCGAAAAGCAAACAAACAAATGAACAAACACGGTCACACAGTCCCTTAAACACTTAACTGCTCCCTAAACAGGTGCCAACCTACCACAACATCTCCTTTTGCTTGTTGTTGTTCAGTCGCACAGTCGAGTCCGACTCTTCGCGACCCCATGGACAATCTCCCGCCAGGCTCCTTTTGCTCCTTTTGCTACTGTGTTTTAAAAAAACACATTAAGAAGAGTCCATGTAGGACAGAAATGCTGTCACATGCTGCCGTTCCCCACCTAAAACCCACAAGTCATGAGACAAAAAACAATAAGAGCACAGTAGGTCTTACCAAACACCGATTAACAACTGAACTCTGGGTGTTCCCCTATCTGTTGGCAGATACTAATCCTGAAACCACTTATTCACTTACTAATTTTTTAACAATAGTTTTAGCTGTAAAGAGACAAAAATCTGGCTTGACCCAACTGTTCTTGGTTCTTGGGGGGCAACAGTGGGAGGGTTTCTGGAGTTCTGGCCCTGCTGGTGGACCTCCTGATGTCTCCTGGGTTTTGGCCACTGTGTGACACAGAGTGTTGGATTGGATGGGCCTCTGGCCTGATCCAACATTGGCTTCTCTTACGTTCTTATGTTCTAACTGTAACAGAATTTGGGATGCACCCAGTTATTATGATTTAAATGAATATCTAAATGAATTACAGTTTTATTAATGACTTCTGTTTAAACATTTTAGATCTTTTAGATTTGATTACTTCGACTGTAAAGTTCGTATTATGAGGCTAATGTTGTATATTCATCTTTTATAATTGAGCTTAAGACCTTTGGTCATAGAAGCTAATAAACATAAGTAGGTCTTAATTTGATCCAGGATGCATCAGAAGCCTAGCTCAAGGAATCGTTTCCTACCTTGTAAAACAGGGGTATCAAACATAAGGACCGGGGCCCAGATCTGGCCCATCCAGGGCTCTTATGCAGCCCGTGAGCAGTGTTCCCTCTAAGCTGAGTTAGTGTGAGCTAGCTCACAGTGTTTTAGCCTCTAGCTCACAAATTTTTGTCTTAGCTCAGGAAGGACAGCTCCAAAGCAAACTGATTTATGCAGTTGCCAAATCGCTCACTCACAACTTTAATGCCAGTAGCTCACAAAGTAGGATTTTTGCTCACAAGACTCCACACCTTAGAGGGAACATTGCCCGTGAGCAACTGATGCATTTTCAGTGGCGGCTCCTGCCAGGTGGAATGAGCTCCCGTAGGAGATCCAGTCCCTGTGGGACCCTGCGCAGTTCCACAGGGCCTGCAAGACGGAGCTCTTCCGCCAGGCTTTTGACTAGGAGCTGCCATTACCGTTACCACCATTACCAACTGGCCCTGTGAGGAGTGAACGACAGCGCTGCGCGCAGCTGACACCACTGAACTGGGAGTTCCATCTTCAAGACGCCATCTTTTTTTTATTGAAGACTGATTTGCAACACCTAGAGCACTTTGTAATATTGTAAATGACTGGTTTTATGTTGTTTTTATTCTGTTTTATGTATTGGAAAGATTGAAGGTCAAAGAAGACGAGAACGGCAAAGGATGAGATGGTTAGACAGTGTCATCGATGCAACGGACATGAAATTGAGCAAACTTCAGAGGACGGCGGGAGACCGGAAGGCCTGGCGTGATCTGGTCCATGGGGTCGCGAAGAGTCGGACTCGACTGTGCGACTGAACAACAAAAATGTACTGGCATGTGCCCTATTTGTGAGCCGCCCTGAGCCAGCTTGCAGGGCACGCGGGCTATAAATCAAAATAATTAAATAATTAAAAAATGCAAGGAAGGGAGCTGGGGAGGAGGAGTGGGAAGAGCCACTCCATGATGGTTTCAGCACAGCAGAGCAACCTCGTCTGCAGCAGCCCAGCCTCATGGAAGCACCAGCCCAGCACAGCACTGCTGCCTCTCCGGTCTGCCTCTGTGGGTTTTCCTCTGCACCCCCCTCCCACCCCAGGGGGGGGGTCTTGCAGTGAGGACGCACCAATTCGGAGCTTACCAGCTGCTGTCCTCTATACCGTTTCTATCTCCGGTACCTGGCATGACGTTTTATGGCACACCCGGCCCGGCCCGAGAAAGAGACATTTATGTCAGATCCGGCCCTCATAACAAATGAGAAGAAGAAGAGAAGAGATTGGATTTATACCCCACCCTTCGCTACCCAAAGGTGTCTCAGAGAGGCTTACAAACTCCTTTCCCTTCCCCTCCCCACAACAGACACCCTGTGAGGTAAAAGAAGAAGAAGAGATTGGATTTATAACCCGCCCTTCAGTACCCAAAGGAGTCTCAGAGCTGCTTACAATCTCCTTTCCCTTCCCCTCCCCACAACAGATACCCTGTGAGGAGGGTGGGGCTGAGAGAGCTCTGACAGAAAACGCTCTTGAAGAAGAGAAGAGATTGGATGTATACCCCGCCCTTCACTACCCAAAGTAGTCTCAGAGCGGTTTACAAACTCCTTTCCCTTCCCCTCCTCCTTTCCCTTCCCCTCCCCTGGGAGGCAGGTGGGGCTGAGAGAGCTCTGACAGAAACGGCTCTTTTTCAAGAACACCTCTGACAGAACTATGGCTTGGCCAAGGTCACCCAGCTGGCTACACGTGGAGGAGGAGTGGGGAATCAAACCCGGTTCTCCCACTGCTCTTAATAGAATGGAGGAAGAAGACGACAAAAAGGAGGAGGAGGAGGAGGAGGAGACTGGACTTATACCCCACCCTTCACTACCCAAAGGTGCCTCAGAGCGGCTTACAAACTCCTTTCCCTTCCCCTCCCCACAACAGACACCCTGTGAGGCAGGTGGGGCTGAGAGAGCTCTTGACAGAAACTGCTCTTTTTCAAGGACAGCTCTTATCAGAACTACGGCTTGCCCAAGGTCATCCAGCCAGGTGCAAGTGGAGGAGCTGGTCATCCAGCCAGGTGCAAGTGGCAACTTGGTGGCATTTTTTCCCCCGCCGCCACCGAAAGTATGACAGAGCAAGGTGGCCTTCGGTCACATGCAGAAGTTAAAGACATGCCCTCACCATTGGGCAATGAACTACTTAGAAGCAGCCCAAACTCGATTAAGGTTTGGCTGCTCGTTCCAGAAGCAAAGAAGTTGGGAGCAACAGCACCTTTGCTTTCAGGGGGTAATATTGTTTAGAAGCAGGTGTCATTTCCTGCAGGAGCACACAGGAGCGAAGCTCCAGTAGTGAAGAGCTCAGGGGGCAGACACATGCAACAAGCCCCACCCCCTGCTCCCAGCAGCCCTCAGTCAGAGCAAGAAGCAGCCAGGTAAGTTGCAGAGCCCCCTCCCGGCCCCCTGGTCAAAAACAGTCCAGTGGTACCTTTAAGACCAAGGTTTATTCAGGTACAAGCTCTCCCTCCTCTGCAAGGACAGATCTGCATGTCCCCCCCCCAATAGCTAGGAATCCAAAACAGTCCAGTGTAGCCTGAGCGGTGGGTGTTGCCTTCTGACACACTTCCGGTGATGTCAGGGGGTGTGGCATATGCAAATAAGTTATGCTAATGAGTGATGCTAATGAGCTTCTGCACCTCTTTTTCTACGAAATGACCCCTGTTTAGAAGTGCCTTTCATTTACCATCGATCGTACAACCGTACACACATTTTATTTATTTATTTACTAGATTTTTACCCCGCCCTCCCAGCAAGGCCGGGAGTAAGCCCTGCTATAGTAAACAGGATCCACTCTCGGGTAAGTGTGTATAGGGTTGCAGCCTGAAGAATGTTAGGTTTTTCTTTGGGAAAGTAAGTTTTCAGATATGCATGGGGAAGGGAAGCTCCAGGCTTTCCCACGAGTTACAGTCAAAAACTAAATTAATTAAAAAGTTCCTTTCATCTGCCTTCTTCTGTTGCTTCT